ACACACACACACACACACACACACACACACACACACACACACACACACGGGGCAGTTTAACAGAGCAGTCATTTTTAGTTTTTAAGTCTGCAGCTTCAGGCCTGTGCAGATGATGTATTGTGCTCGTCTGGCTCTTCTTGTTTTTCATGTGGTAGCACCTCTGATTAGGGTCTTACTATATGGATTAAAGACACTGTTTTCTTGATATTGTCTACGGAAGCAATTCAGTTTGTAAAAATGAAAATACTAGAGTTCTTGTAAACAAAATGAGGAACTCTATTAAAACACTTGAAGAAGGTGGTGCTAGTCTGCATATTCCAGAGCTCATGCTTTTTCTTGTATAGATAACTGTTGGAATTTTCAGGTTTACATTTTAGTGTAAATTGGTCAGGTCTCCTCTACTAAATGATTTCAGTACTTTGTTATAGCTTGTAATATTTGGAAAATTTGAAAAGATCTTATTACTTGGGAGAATAAAACTTTTGTCGAATGATGAGCTCTGTTCTACTCTAGTAGTTCAGAATCTAGAAGAAGTGCGCTAGCTCTTTGATGTTGGACAAGTCAGTTAAACCTGGGGGAACTTGAATCCCCCAGCGTGAATTGTGTAAGTAGGGCCTACTGCAACAACCTTATGATGCTAGAATGAGACAATGCATGAAAAGTATACATACCATAGTGATTAGCATGTAGGTCAATAGTTTTTGCTTTAAAGTGTGAAAATGATAGTTTATTTAGAATTTGGTTTTATTTCAGATGATAATTGTTACTTAAACTAGTTTTGCTGTATTTTTCTGTTACAGCATTTAAGCTTTGTGTATGAATGTGAGCACAAACACACAAACTGTAGTTCTCTTGTGAACTGAGAAATTGACACTTACATACTTAAAACCTTTTAAAGAGTCATTTTTCACATGTGTTGTTTTTCTAGTAATCTTATGAGATTGTGGAGTGAGTCAGAAAAGATAATTATATAATTTTTGAGGTTTGAAGCAGATACTGAGAGCATGTAGTAGCTATTTATCTATAGTAAGGCATTAGTGGAATAACTAATAGCTGCATCTATTAGTTTGCCTAATCTTTATGTAGTACTGTATTTATTCCCCATAGTACTGTTGGGTACAGTTGCTGTTGACACAGTGAGAAAGACAAGTGACTTGTACAAGATTGTGTAAGATCTGGTTTGCGTTTTGAGGCAAAGTCAGGTTGACTTTTACAGCTGTTTAAAAATATCTTGAGAAAAACATTGTTTCACTTGCTAGTGTATAGTTTCAATTTTTAATTTTACTGAGTATTGGAATCCCTCTGAAAGGCTTTTGGTAAAATAATAGGAATTAGAATGTAACTTCAAAGTAAAAGAGGAAGTTGTATTCCGAGTGGTCATGTAATTCCTTTAACTCCAGCATCTCAGGAAGCAGAGGCAGGTGGGTTTCTGTGGATTGGAGGCCAGCCTGGTCTGTATAGCAAATTACAGAATGACCAGGGTTACATACTGAGTCACAAACACTATAAACTGCAGAGTTAACCTTTCAGCACAGGAAGTTTTGTTTTAAATCTGATTTTTGCCAAATAATTTGCTCTTTGATGAAGTTTGCTGCTTTATTAGATTGATTATCCTTTCTCATTGTAGGAGAAAAGTTCAGAGCACAGTCTTTTAAACTGGATGTGGTCATCTAACCCAATGTGGGTGATGTGAAAAATGAGCAACAGTAAAAGGTTTCTAAATATCCTGTGACCAAAAAATTAAAACCAAATCTGTAGTGAATCTGAGGAGTTTGAGCAGGGATCACTTTTGTTGTATTGGGTGACTTCACTTCAGTCACAGTTCTGAACACATAATGTGCTTTGCATGTGCTGTCACTCTCTTCAGGCCAGTGAATGCCTGATGTATTATGCCTCAAATTGTTGACAGTTTTTTACTTTGTTATTCTTCTTTGGTGGGTAGATGTATCTGTAGGTTTTGGGGAGATAAGAGATCCAGTAAGTGACAAAATCTTTTAGCCTTCATAAACTAATGCTTCAAGTTCCTTTAAATTCTTAGAATAATCAATCAATTGAAACAAGTCTTTCTTGGGTCTGTCATACAGGCATACATGCAAACAGAGTGCTCATATACATAAATAAATAAATCTTTAAAAAATGTCTTTCTTAGCCAGGGTCTGTTAATATTCACCTAGACTACTGAAATACTGGCTGGTTCTCCACTGTACTGTGTGAGTGTGTAAAACCACTTTCTGACTTGGAAATTTTTCTGGCCATCAGAAAAAATTAAATTGTGTTTTTACATACACAGTTTTTTACTCTTAAAGAAAGATAATGATTTCATTATGAAAAGAGGACAATTATTTCTTATTCCTTGGCATGTTAGTATCAAATTAGTGTCTTTGTACCCTATTGTATATGATATATATACACACACACACACACACACACACACACACACACACACACACACATATATAATTTTTTTGTAGAAACATTGATATTAAGTTTCAGCAATTTCGGAAATGGCCCTAAATATACTGTTGCCATTTTGCACGCTGTATTTATGTGAAAGTGTTCTCAGTACTGACTACTATAAAAGCAAAATATCAGTCGACTCTAAAAACGTTCAAAAGGCTATCTATCAAATATTTGGCCAACATGTAATTCTTTATGTAAAAGTAGTCAAGTACACCCATCTTACTCATTAGTATGCAAATTTGCTTTTGCCTTTAATGCATTATATGTATTTCAAATAAAAGTTTTTGTGATTATTAGTAAATGTTTCACTTGTGTGCTTGCTTTCTATATGTAAATGCCTGGGCTCACAGAGCCATTTCTTGGGTAAAAGTTGCAAGTATAAAATGTTTGGGAAGCCCTGGTTTAAAAGACAGCTCTTCACTTGTAAGTCTCATAGATAAGCTGGCATTTCTTCATTTCTTTTTATCTATACCCTGCAGGTGTAATGTATACCAAGATTATTTAATATTTTTATAGTACTGACCATGACTTCATATATATTTTTTTCAAGACAGAGTTTCTCTGTAGCTTTGTGTATCTTTGTAAACCAGGCTCGCCTTGGAACTCACAGTGATCAGTCTGCCTCTGCCTCCCTGAGTGTTAGGATTAAAGGTGTGTGCCACCATGCCCAGCTAAAATGAATCTTGGGAGAAAGTCAGTTTTTTGTTTTTTGGATATGCTTGGGAACTTTTAGGAAGTTATAGCCTGATGCATACACTGACCCGTGAACCAAACGGCCTCTGGTCAACTCTTCCTTTGCTGTCGGATTTGCTCTGTGCTGGCACAGTAACAGCATAAGCTCACAGTGCAGAAATACTGGGCAAGGGGACTTGCTTCCTGCCCTGGAGCTTTTTCCTAACTTGATGCCAGCCAGCTCTTAGACTAGTAAGCCTAGGAATTTTAATGAAAAGCCTGTTTTCCTGGCTTTCCCTCATTAGATTATTAGATTGTCTTAGTGTTGAGATATGGGGTAGTGGGGATCTAAGAGAGGAGTAGAAAGTAGTGCCTGGCTTGAGGATATTTTTAATAAATGTTTGACTTTTGAATGAATGGGTTATTCATCCTGTTAATTTCTGAAAATGCTATTAGCTT